CGCGAAGAGTGTAGGGTATTGTATATACATGTATAATATACAAGGGCACGCCGAAGGGAACCCTCCGCTCGGCCTCTCCCACACACGGTGGCGCTAAAATAAAATGACCAGCGAGGAATGCCGGAGGAGCTCCCCCGTCCCTCCCTTTCTCTCTCTCTCGTGCCCCCGTACCTGTATTTTATGTATACACATCCACCATTACATTACCGCACCAGCGTCGTCATCACACTACATACACATACACACCCACACACATAAAGGTGCATTCGCGCATCAAAAGAATGAGCTGCATGTATACATATATATATACGTACAAAAGTTTGCACACGCGTTCGCGCACGTGCCGGAAAAGGAGAACGAGTCGCTGTTGCTGCCGCGAGAGAAGGAGGAGGAGGAGGAGAAACAGAGGGAATATATATTCACAGGGGGAGTATAGAAGATGCATCGGCGAAACAAAGAGACATCGAAGGGGATTTGTGTGCGAGACTCCGGTGCGATCGCTGGACACGGACGAAAAGCTTGCGGGTCATATATTTATATACTTTTCCCCTTTCTCTATCCCTCTTTTTTAACGAGCTTGCGTCACGGGGAGCTTGAGAAAATTCGAGAGCTTTGCTCGGTTTTTCGACGGATCCGGGGAGATCGGTAATTTCGTGGACACGAGGTGACAGTGTGGCGACGCAGTTTCGATGAATAACCAAGTATGCGAGCGTCGTCACGGTCGAGCTTGCAACGCGCACGTGTGATTACACGGCCCGGCAACAACTGCATGGAAACGATCGGTATGTGCAACAACGGCCACGAGCGCGCGAATTTCAAATAAGACGGATGGAATGGAGGCGAAGGAAACAAGAAGAGAGGGGGAGGGGAGGAAAGAAGAAGGTGGAAGAAAAGGAAAAGAAAGAGGATCGGTGAGAAAGAAAAAGTGAGCGGCAGAGCGGAGGAGGAAAGGAAGAGACAGAGAAAGAGTTATGGGCCGCAGGAATGAATGAGAGCGAGAGAAGAAGAAGAAGAAGACGACGAGATGGAAATGATGGCGGCGCGCATTTCGTCCTCCTCCCCCCCCCCAACGCTGTTTCTGCACGAAGAAGAAGAAGAAGGGGCCCGGGTCAGCCGGGCTGGACCTCGAATACCGCGGCGACGACGACGCCTTCTCTGTTTTCTGCGCTGCAATAATCGATCGCGGGCCTCTCTCGCACGCTCCCTTTTGTTCCACGGCTTTCGTTTTCATCGACTCTTTAGTCGAGGGAAAATAATGCACACGTCTTGTGCCAATTTATTTTTTTTTCCAACCTTCCGTAGATCTTTACCTATTTTTTTATTTCCGAGAGGTACACTCTACATAGGTAAGAAAACATGATGAACAAAAAAAGCTCCTCGTTGAGCTTTCATAAAAAATGTAGTCAATTTCAATCAATTTTCGTTCCCAAAAAGGTTATTGGGTTGTAAAAAAAGATCATCAGTTAATTCGTATATGGATAACCTTCTCGATGTGAAAATTTTTCACAAGCGTTCAAGCGAGAATTTAGTATAAATAAGGAGCACGCCATGAGAGTTCAAAAAGTTCCTTTTTCTTTTTCTCTCAATGATATTTCTTTTACCCACAATACCTCATAAATTTGGCAAAGAAGAGTTTTCTTGCTCGTCCCGATCAGTACAGTTTATATCTGCAACACCCTGTGTACACATCCGTAGTTGTAATTGGGATGGGTGTCTCCCGTGGGGGCAGGTGTGACAATATAGATGCAAATTCCGCGATGCTAATTTTGCAATAAGCTCGTCGACGGGACCTACACCGGTCCTCGTTCGACGCGTATCGGGTAAAAAGTGTATCCAATTATCGCACAAAAGAGCTGCTCATCGCGCGATCCCGCGGTTATCGAGCGCTTCCCGATTGCGCCGGGGGTAGAGAAATTCCCTTCCAGCCGTCAAAGGCACGAAAAATGCCCCGATATCTCTAGGCGGACGAAGAGGGAAAATCGAGGAAACCCGAGACTGCAGAGCGGCTCCCTGTAACGACAGGCGCGGAATTCAATTTGGCAGAAGAGAAAGGGAACCCTCGAATAATTATCGCCACCGCGCGCGCGCGTGCAAGTGACCCCTCTACTTTTTTTCTCTCTACCTCCTTCGCTTCTGTGACTTCTTTCGGGGCAAGTGTATAGGTGGGGGTGCGTGTGTAGGGCGCGAGCTCGCGCGATTTAATTAAGTCGCCGATGTAAATTCCAAGAGCTCGAGTGGAAACTAATCGGGCGCTCGATAGGGCTTGATTGGAGCACTTATTGGTGTGGGGGGGGGGGGAGAAAGTCAGGGCGCGCGGCCTTGGCAGTGCAGTGGAGGAATTTGGGCCGCCGTTGGTGCCCGAGCGTGCGTGCGAAAGCCGTCCGAGCACTTTGGGAATTCGCGGGCGTCCCCGTCCTCCTTCTCTCTCCCGGCTCTGATGGAAAAATCTTGTAACGAGGTGAAACCGCTCGCTACGGGGATGCCTCCGTGAGCGCCGAATGACGGATGCCGCTTCGTTAACGCATTTTTTACCTTTTTTTCGTACGCGGTGAGGACTTTTTTTTTCCCCTTCCCCTCGTCCTCGAGTCGTGTACGAGAAATAACTTCAAACTGAAAGTGGAAATTTTCCACTTTGCGGCTTTCCTGGGAAAGTTGCTTTCCCGTTCCCGAACGTCCTTGCGATCCTATGAATGTCAAATCAGCCGAGGATGGACGATGCCGAAGCGGCCCTTTCCCCGTTTGGAAAAATTTTTCCAAGAAAGGTTACATTAACACGATCGCTGATAACAATAGATACGAGAGATAGCAATATTGCTTTCATGTGCAACTATTTTTTTTTCTCGGTGTCTTTTTCAGAGCCCCCCCCCCCCCCCCAATGGGTTGTTTATCTCGCGTTACAGGAAGAGATTTCGCTTTTGTTCCGGCGTGGGCTTGCTGCTAATTTCGAGCGAAAGTTTCGACAGCGCGCATACATATTATGTATAGCGTACTCAAGCCCTTTAATTATCGTGGCCATACCTGCGACGGGCGAAGGAATGGTTGTTAATAACCCACCTCGTGATATTTTCACTATTCAAATTTGCCGGAGCTTGCAAGCTCTCTTTGATCAAATAACGCGAATGACACGCGCTTCGTGCGCTTTTTCCTTATAAAATTGTTCGTTTTAGTTGATCAGAATATACATAATATGCTCTAGTGTCAACTTATAAATGTATCATAAATTGGACTAGATGTACCATAAACTTTGCACATTGGTCGAACGGAAGTGAACTTTTAGCCCTTACCGAAACTGGCTTTGGTTAATCGTACCAACCAAATTAAAGGTCACACGCAAGAACGACACTAGATGAATATTTTATAGGAATATGTGCTTGCTCTGGAAAAAATACCAACAGTAACAATCGCTCCGGCTAATGAAGACTTAATAACGGTTTATTATACGTCTAATTGTACGTGGACTGAAACTTTATTTTTATTCGATGATTAAACAAAGTCGGTATGTTAATAACGCGCCCCTTACACTGTGCTCTCTTCAATCAATAGTAATTACCATGCACAGTCGTTGTTGACCAAAACACGATTCTTGGGTCTTTTGTTATTCAAACTTGACCTTTCCATAATCCTACAAATATATTAAATGCTACACGTGACTCGGTGCAATCAATCAAAAGAATCTTCATTTGGGGTTTTTTTTTTTTTTTCATATGAAATCAATTCTATTACTTACGTGCACTTTTTTCGAATCACAAAAAAATACACTTAACCTTACAATCTAACCTTCAAACGATTAACCTCTAAAAGGGAGCTAGAAAAAAAAAAAAAAAAACCAAAAAGCTTATAATAAAAAAAAACAACAAATTCAACTCTCAACGTCGAGAAAGACGCTCAAAGCAACACTCGAAATAGAAAGAGCTCGCTAACGCGCGCAGCCTCTTCCTCTCTTTGCTCCGGAATGCACAGTACAACGCGAGCACTTGTAAGTATACTTGCGTTCTAAATTAGCAACAACGAGATGGGGACGACGACGACGGGAATGCAAAGTCGCGATTCTTTTGTGCGCGCTCGTGTTGTATCCCCGTGGCACAAAGCGCCCTGCACTATGCACCGATCAGTGGGAGCTCGTGCCGGCCAACTTATATATTCTCGAGTGCTTTTTTCCCTTCTCCTTTTTTTCTCCTTTTTTTCTTAGTCGTTCGAAAGAAGAAGAGAAACGGTTAAAAAAAGAAGAAAAAAAAGACGAAAGTGGCTGAATGGCTTTGGCAAGATCGCCCTCGGATATATATACACACGAGAGAGAGAGAGAGAGAGCGTGGATTGAATGGGATTTGATAATGGGATTGCTGAAGAGATTGCGTCGGACCGCCGGCTGCCGGGGCGCAGGAATTTGATCGAGCTCGGGGAAAAATTGCATTACCCTCTGTGCGGGCTATACAGCGATCGGTGTAGGTTATTTTTACAAAGTAATTTCCTCCCTTCTCATTTTCCCCGGAATAGATAAGATTGTTTTTAATGAAATGCGAACACGCCGGCACGTGAATCAATTTTGAGGTTATGTGCGGTTTTTTTTTTTTTGTTTTTTTCTTAAGAAGAAATACCGATTTTCATTGATCGCATGCACTTGCTGTATGTAATTATTGAGGATTAAAAACAGGAAGCCTTCATTTTACCAATTGCAGTTGATTCGGCACGTGAAAAAACAAAAATTAGGTTAATTAATGACTCCTTTCCGGCTGTCGTAATTTCGCGTGTTCGCTCTTAAAGCCCAAAGAATCGCATGTCTGGTTCTAAATGGTCCCAATTAAAAAAAAAGTTAACTGCCTATGGCAAACGCGACACGTGCCACTTTAATGATTGATCTACGCTTTTGTGTAACCTAAAAAGTAGTGCCTGCTCAATCGATCCAAACGACAACGATAGCCCCAGAAAATCAAGTAAAATAACTGTCACACCCTTTGGCTTTTAAAAACGAAGGTAAAAATAATGACTGTTGATGGTTGCAGAAACGGTAACGGTGTTGGCCCGCCAGTCGGAGAACAAGACGCTGACGCTGTTCAACCAGGTGTACCGTGCAATGGCGGCCCAGAGCAAGCCCTCGATAACGAGCTTGTACCAAGCGATGGTGGACTACGTGTCGCCGGCCAACACGGCCGAGAGCTTGCAGCAGCCGTTGAGCCAAGAGCAGCTGCACGAGCGCTTCGCCGATTTTTTCACCAAGTTGTTCCCGATCGCCTACCACCGGGCGGTCAATCCCACCCAGGCCCACCAGGACTTCACCGAGAGCTTCAAGAGCTGCCTGTACAGGACCATGGACGAGATCGAGCCGTTTGGCGACGTGCCCAAGCAGATCGGCCACTCGCTCGGCAAGAGCCTCGAGGCCACGAGGGTCCTCATACAGGCGCTCACGCTCGGCAAGAGCGTGCTCGAGAAGACGGACGGACTCGTCGTCTCGGGCACCAGTGGCCAGCAGGACGCCTGTTACAAGGCTCTGCTCCGGATGATCCACTGTCCCAAGTGCAGGGCCGTGCCAAGCGAAGTCAAGCCGTGTCGAGGATTCTGCACCAACGTCATGAGGTCAGTGGTGTTTTTTTTTCTTTTTCTTTTTCCGATGCGGCGATCGATATTAATCTTGGTGCTATGGGCGTGTTTTTTTCTATAAATACGTGCAATTAGCTCGGCGTTGATACGGCTGGGCTGGGGCCTTTCGTCATAATTACTCATTGTGTGGTATAATGGGACAATGCCTTTGAAATCGGCTCTGGTTGTTAAGTGACAAGTTTTTGTAAATACAGGACTTGCGTGCCGATTTCGAGGGCATATAATTATTGTACCACTCGTCGCGTCGGACAAACGCGATTGTTGCACAAAAGAACGAGATAATTGATACTTGTCTGACTTATTTGCAATAACTTTTTTTTTTACAATGCCAAGCATCGTTGTTAATATCAGCTTTTATGATGATGTGAGCCTGTCGGTACGAATGAATGTCCACGTAACCGATGAAATGGCTTTTATTTCTTTTTTTTTTTTTTATTATTTAAAGAATCTATGTTAAAGAAAACTTGTATGGTCTCTACATTTGGAATAAATTGACCCAAAAACGAGACATTATATAGTTTCTCCTACCTCGGGCGTTTTTGAGATCTCCGTCTCCGCGGCTATTTTGCGGCCCAAGGGACGTAAGGTAGCCACGGAGCGATGGCACTTATCCGACGAAAACTACTATTAACAATGGTGTGATTGAAACAAAATGCATAGTCAAGGCGGACTTTTGTTTCACGGATTGCAAATACACTTGACTCGTCAAAGAAAAATTAATCCAGCTTTGGGGTTGTTACGTCCACCCACATTCTTTCGTACACGTAAATTACGTGTGAATTTTATCCAAGAGAGCGTTATAATAAATCATATTTTTAGAACGAATACAGCTCAGTTTTGGCTGAGGAAATAAAAGAAATACGATACAAATAGAAAAAAAAAAAAAAATGATAATAAATAAACGCAATATAAAAAAGTCATGAATAACCTCAGGGGATGCCTGACGGAGCCCGTCTCCGAGCTGGACTTTGCTTGGTCGGAGTACGTCGAAACGGTCGAGCGACTGGTAGTTGCCGTGGACGGCCACAACGATCACAACGACCCTCTGGCCCTGAACGTCGAGAGGGCGGTCAGACATCTGGACAGCCGTATTTCGGACGCCGTGATGCACGCCATGGAAAAAGGCCCGGCACTCGAGGAGAAGGTCAGTTCCTCTTTTTTTTTTTTTTTTTTTTTTTTCCGCCGTATTTCGGACGCCGTGATGCACGCCATGGAAAAAGGCCCGGCACTCGAGGAGAAGGTCAGTTCCTCTTTTTTTTTTTTTTTTATTTTTTTTTCACACGCACGCGTAGGGTACACGTTTTTCTTTTTGCTCCTTTTTTTCCCTTCTGCCTAGCTCTGGTCAAACATACGGGGTTAACTACGGCTTGGGGAATTTCAGGACCCCCCCTCCAGTCTCGACCTAGTCCATTTTTAAATTCATCTTCAATACACGTACAAAAGAAATTCATTGACCATCGAACGAGATATGATCTCTCACGCCATTCGACAAAACTGAACGCATTATCACCCTGGGCCACAATAACTCAATTCGATTCGTCAAAATGGCTATCCTTTTGAAATGAGGCTGCACGCCACCGGGACCGAAAAAAAAGCTTCCCGGAATCGCGAACAATTGCACCAGCCACAACCAGAGCGGCGGCAATATCGTTACCACGCTCGTTCTCTCTCTAAATAATTTTCCCAACAATGGCTTGGTGTGCTCTACACCTTTTGTACGACCTCGGGCTATTGTACGAGCTTAAATAATAAAAGACTTGGCAGTTGGTCATCCCGCCGCCACGTACACACACGCGCGCTCGGCTCGGCAATTCACACGTCCCTTCCTCTTTTTATCTTGTATTATTACTCTCAACGGCAATCAGAGGCACATGTACAGGCGGGCGACAATGGCCGGCCAGCCGGCACGCGATGCGGCGTCCGCATATGACTACCGGCTTCTTGTGTGTAAATAGGTTATGTGCACGATATACGTGTCGATTTGGCGCAAACTTTTGAAAGGAAGAGAAAACGAAATGAAAAACGCACTCGTACAAGAAAAGGCACAAAAATTGACTCTTCGCAAAGGTTCGAGGTATATTGTGTGTTTTGACAATGCCAAAGAGAGAGAGAGAGAGAGTGGACACGAGGATCTGTCGGTATACAGAGACACCTCCGTCAAAAAGATTTCGTTTTCAAACTTTTTCACAATTATTACCATTATTCTCGATTCGGGGCGCTTGCATTCGCGTGCAGTATATATACAATACCTTGTACCTGCATATAATAAACGCCTCTCTCAACTTGAGGGCACCCATTTGTCAGAGAATGCGTGGAGGCACCCATAACCTGTACACAAGGACTTCTTCAAGAGCGAGCCGCTGGAATTTGCCTCGAGAGCCTCTCAATGAATAAAGGAGCAGGAATAAACCAAAAAGTAAAGAGAAAAAAAAAATCGAGACATCCCAGAAGCAGCGTGTCATTGTAAATACACGTAAAAATAAGGTCGCATGTGTAAAATAAACACAAAATCCCCTCTTTATGTACAATATATACGCATATATATATATATATATATATACACATGCTATACCAGATTTCCGCGTCCCGTTACACGCGTATATACCCATCACATAGAGACGTTAAGTTCGAAGAGGACTACCGATCATTACACGTATATACTTCCTCGTGCTTGCTGTATTTAATATATATATATATACACACACGAGGGACAGAGACGGAGAGAGGAGATGGTCTTTTCACCGGTCGTAATTTTCACCGGCTCCGTTCTGTTCATTCTCAAGAAGAACGAGAAGGATAAATAAAGCAAAGAAAGGAAGACGACGATGGCATGTGCTTCAAGGAGAGAGGGGGGTGGGGAGGGGGAGAGCACATCCCTTATAATAGCCATCAAGAGCTAGCGCCTCTTCATTGAGGATTTATTTGCGTGCTGCCGATCTATGAGTGTGTATATTACATTGGACGGAGGTATACCTGTGTGTATGCGCGTACCCAAGAGAAAAAAAGGGAGAGAGGGCAATCGCATGCCGGTGGTCCCCGGAGGCAGCCCCTGAAAATGCTGTGAATGGGAGGGAGGGAGGCTTCTTAGGAGAGCGAACGAGATTCAAAGGAACACTACGACAACGAAGGAACCGAAAGAGAGAGGGAGGGAGGGAGGGAGGGCTTTTTAGGCTCTCTGCGTCGAGCAACGGTCCCACCGTCCCCATCGCCGTCGTAGTCGGCAGGCCCGAAAAGATCTCCTCCTCTGTATATACAATATACCCCAGTGCGTTGGCTGTAGGTCGATTTTGGCGTTCGTTCTTTCCATCTTCTCTCTTTTTTTTTCTTCTTTCCTTATTTTTTTTTTTTTTTTTTTTTTTTTTTTCGTACAACGGGGGTGAGAAGCTGCAGGCGCCTGCGGTGTGTGTTGTGCACCTCACCCCCTCTATCTCCCGTTCACGCGCTGTCCTCTCAGGTTCGTACCTGCTCGAGGATGTGGTACCTGGCAAGCATGAAGAGGGATCCTCTCGGTGGCCTCGCCAGGGGGTCCTTCTCTCTTTCCCTCCTCCTTGTACATACACACATATATACATCTATACCTATTGCCGGACTCGCAGCAGCCGCGATCCCACTAATAATTCTTCGCGCGCGTAGAGGATAGAGGAAGATAAAGAAGGATGGAAAAAAAAAGAGAGAGAGAGAGAGGATTGCCAGTGGTGCTACATTCTGCGCGCATTACGTGGCCGCCTAAGGGTTCCGTATGTAGGTATATACACACTTTCCCTTGCTCTTTTGCCCTTTGCGCGTCCCTTTCTCACTGATAAAAAATCAACGTAGGTCGCCTGGGAGATGTGAATTTTTCAATACACACATCACAATAAGCATGTACTGTATAATATACTCTGTTGATTATACGCTGTTAATCCTTCTCTCTCCCTTTTTCATTTCTCATTTCCCCTTTTCTCGGCGTTGATCGTATGTATCTGTATCTCTTTACATTTCTCTCTTTTTTTTTTTTTTTTTTTTTTTCCCTTTTGTATCTATTTTCGACAACAAAGAGTCGGCGTTGATGCGTCTGTGATACATTGTGTGCACATATGCATACCACAACCGTGTAGTATCTATATGTACAGTTGAGCAGGAAATGCGCGCATTGTCCGCTTCCCTGGGACGAGATTATTATTACCCACGATGCGAAGGATGACCCCCTACGGCTTTTAACACTCGAGATTTGGAAGATTTCGCGTTCACGTGTATCTACTGACATTTCTACGCGTGTGTGTATGTGTGGACAGTAGATACTTATGCGGGCCCTATGTTGCTTTTTTTTTTTTCCTTCAAGCTCTCTCGTGCAAGGCGGCAAATGATATTTCTGTTTGTTGTATCTTCCTACCTGCACCGCTGTCTAGCGCGCGAGGAATTTTCGGTTGTATACGGGTATATAGCAGAAAAAAAAGGGGGGGGGGACCCTATACAACATAAGAAGAGGAAAAAGAAGAAGAAGGAGATAAAGGGAAGGTCGGGAGCGAGCTTTTTAAGAAGATGAAGATGAAGAAGAAAAAGTGAATGGAGCGGCCCGGGGAAGTCTCACGGCTGATTGGCCCGAGTGAAAAGGGGGATTCACCGGTATAATCCGGTTTAATGATTCTATTTTCTACTGGGCCCTCGAATCCCCCGTTCCAGCGTTCCCCGTCCCCGTATCTCTCTCTCTCTCTCGTTCTGCACTCGCTGTGCGCACAATGCGTATATACATATACACATCAATGTTATTATAATCATCTTTAAGAATTATCACGGTGGCTGCCTCCCGTGCAAGTAGGCAGGTATAGGGACGGGCAGGATGTATACGTACCTTTCTACCCCCTCCCCTCCCCAGCCCCCCACGGACCCCCTCGGCAAAAGGTCAAGAATTCAGGAAGAGGCTTACTCATTCTTATCTCGCATTTTAGAAACGGATATACCTACATGTCCTTGTGCCTACCTGCGGCGTTTGTTTGTTTGTTTGTTTGTTTGTTGTAGCTGGAAGGAAAGAATTACGAGTATATAATATGTATGTACATGGCTCCACCCACGCGTACCGATGTTATACGTACACACACACACAGAGTCTCCGTACGGTGGGTGTTTCTCGAAATTACTTCTTCCGCTACCGGGGACTCAGGGGGGGTGTGACGGTCAGTCGTGAGCAGAAAAATTCCAAAAGGGCCCTCGATGTATATATATATACACACCGAGCATCATGGGAAGAATAAGGTAAGGCAACATCGACAGTAAAGCGAGTCAAAGAGAGAGAGAGAGAGACGGGGGTCCGGCCACCACGGGCGCGTAGGTGTGCGGAATTCGCCGGTTCCCCTCTCCGTTCCCTCCCCCCTCCCCCTTCTTTTGCCTGAAAAGCTCTCTTTCTCTCTCTCTCATTCTGCTCAGCAACAGCAGCATCAGCAGCCTGTTTCTCCTCTCTCGCACTCTCTCATTATTATTCATCTCAGCGTCGCGGTCTCTGAACTGCCGGTCTCCGGTACTACCTATATACATATACCTACACAGCGGCCTCAGACTCGCCGACGACCACCGGCCGCATGCATGCACCCGGCCAAAGAGAGGAGAGGAAAAAGGCTCGTTAGTCATCCCTACGCGCGCGACCGCTTGCTCACAAAAGCCTCTCCTCGCCATCCTTCTCTCTCTCTCTCTCCCTTATGTCTTAAAGGTATATATATATTATGTACCCATACGGCCACTCTACGAAAGTCGCTTGATCGTGCACTCAGATTCCATACCTCTCTCTCTCTCTCTTTTCAAACAGGAATATTGGCTGCGCGAGCTCACACACGCACCCACGTACAGGCTTTTATACAGGTGTGGGCAGAGGTACAGAGCTCGAATACGGTGGGTTTGAGAGAAAGAAAGAAGAGAGAGAGAGAGAGAGTGGCGTTTCGACGAAAATCGGCTTTCCTGTCCGCGCTTACGGCAGTGTGTACATTTTCGAAAATTAGGCACCCACTTGTTCTTTGTCTAAAAACTGATGACACGACCATGGGTGTACGCATACGTACAGCTCTGTCCCTCGTGTGTTTATACTTCTTTCGGCACTTTTCTCTCACGTGTGGACCGTGAACGGTCAAGTGCGTGAGTACCGATCTCTTGTGTACCCATTGGCCCATTGTTGAA